GAACATTGGTGCCTGATGCCAGCTCCTGTTATGTTCTTGAAGTTTCTTCCTGTTTGCTGACAAATTCGTTGTGTAATGAAGTGCCATGCTGTGGTTTGTTACAGAGGTTTTAGTAACAGTAGTGTCTTACTATACTTTTATTTATCTATTCTAGATAATTTGTGCAATGGAAAATTCCACAAACACCTCCAAGACCTGTTTGCTCCACTTGTTGTTAGATATGTCGATCTGATGGAGTCCTCAATTGCACAGTCAATTCACAGGGGCTTTGAGCGGGAGTCATGGGAGCCAGTAAAGTAAGGAAACCTCCTTTGATACAATCGGAATTTGGGTGCAAATGGATGGAGATTCATACGGAGATGAATTAGCAAACATTAGACTGGACATGCAGAAAGTGCTTTAGATTTTCTAGTTTAATGGTAAAAATAGAAGGCCTGATCTTGTCAGGGTTTTCAAGTTAATGAGGGAAATGGTATTTACTTTTTGAAATGCATTGCTGCCTCAGTTTGAACCGTGTGCCTTTGGACATGGAAGCATGAAAATGTGAAAACCTTCTTAGCTGGCATGGCTTTTTGGATCCTGTTCTAAAAGGCCTTTTCCAATGCTGCTTTTGAACTCAAATAGCTCCTCTTCAGAACAAAAACCCTTGCTTCGCTGTGTTCAGTCCAGCCCTATAACCTGTGTGAGTCACTGCTGTACTTACTCTTCCCAATACTCATTTTTGCCACCCACCCCGTGGAGGGATCGTGCAGCGTGGCGCTTCTCGCGTCAGCCCCGCGGCTGGTGGCTGCACGTGTCCCCGCGTCCCAGGGCAGCTCCGCCGGGTCCCAGCTCCCTTGCCTGTAGGATTAGGCGTGCAGAAACCGTAGTGCAACACGGGCGAGATGATTCAAGCAGAATCAATTATTAAATTTGGAGAACTAGGCATTTACCAGCGAGAAATGAGTAGCCTGAGAGAAACCCAAATTGAACTCAAGAGCTGGTGAATGATAAAAACGTGGCATGTGCTTTGGATTACTGTTGTTATTTCACAGGTTTTGAAGCATTGCTGAACCCTGTCATGCTTGCTCTAAAAAGCCAAGTCAGATCCTACAAAGGAAAAGAACTGACTTTTCCTTCTAATAAAGGTATTAAAAGAGAAAGATCGACCCTTTGCAAGCAGGATGAGTCTGGTGGTGGCTCAGACAGGGGATTTGGACCGGGTGACCTCTGGAAAGACTATTTTCCCTGCTTTTTTTGTGATTCTGTAGGCAAAGTTAAGTGGCACTGCACTCTCAGAGGTTGCTGTATAAAAGAACGTGTGGTCTTTCAGGGCTTTTCACACCAAATATGTTCCGTTTACAAGGAAAAGAGATTTTGTTCGGCAGCCAGCCTCCCATATGCAACCTGGAGTCTGAGTACCCAGGTTTTTTGCTTTCTTTCTTGTGCATCCTCAGCATCCGTAAGGATTCTGCCTGCCAAATTTCAGGCCTTTTCTTGACACCTGATCATCCCCTCTGTTTTGAGTGGGGTTAAGTGGCTGGCATTCAGGATTCTCTCTCACTTTCCATTTGCTGTCTTTGGTCTGCAGGCTAACAGGATTAAAAATCCTAAAAAATCTTGTTTCAAATAAGCAGATGTGACCCAGAAAACATACAAGAAATAGATCTTTCGAGTAGGAGAATGCCATTTTTACAGCCACTCCTTCAAGCAGAATTGCACTTTGAAGTTAGCATTAACTCTAGTTTCAGAGCTCTGCTTTAGTAATGAGTATGTTTGTATTTGCTTGTCTGTTATGAAACAGAGGCAGTTAACTCTGTGTACCTGTCCACCTCAGTCACGCAGTCAATAAGCAACTCGTTCTGCTTTTTTCTTTTGTCAGAAGCTGACATCATTTTGGCTTTTAATGACTTTTGTGGCTTAACTATAGATGTCCATAAGTACTTGGCTGTGGTACTTGCCTGTCAAAATGCTTTACCCCTGGGTACGCCATTATCTATCATTTTCAAGTTATCTTTGATAGTTATGAAAGATCTTTTCTTAGTTCTCTTGTAATGGTTATTCCCTTCTGGAGTTCCAGTTACAGAGTGCTTTGAGCGTTGCGGTTTCAAACAAAAGCCCAGGATGGACTGTCTGTCTTACAGACTTGGGTATTTAAAAGATTTCTTCCAGCAGGGAAGTGGGTGCTTTTCACAAGAAGCTTGTGTCCATCTGGTGAAAAGATGCACTCCAGGATTTTTTTTTTTTTCACTAGTTGGTATTTTGTTCTTGTGTCTCGCACACAAAAGTGCAAGTTGCAAATGCTGGCTTAACACAATGTGACCCAGTGAAGGAAGATACCAGCGAATGCACAGAGGGTGGCACATACTGCATAAGGAAAAAGAGGGGTGTCGTTCCTAGGATCTTATGACAGTCTGGATGCGCTGTTCAGAACTAAATGTTAAGGCATCTTCATCTTTTGCCTCCTGGGCAGACCACCTGCTCCTCTTTGCCTGATCGACAGTGAACTTGCAGAAAAACTCAGGTCAGAGACTTATTTTGTTTGATTTGCCCTCATGTATCTACCTCCTTCTCCCCCCACACGTCCATACTGCAGCACAGTTGAGTTTTTGGCCATTGATTCTCAAATAGTTTGGACCAGCCGGTTCCCATCCAAGTCATGGCCTTCCACTGCCACCTCTCCGGCAGAGCTTTTTGGGAATTGGGAACACTGCAGTATGTTCTTCCATGGCTTTCCTCTGCTTTGAAGAAAGGCCTTCAGGTTGGCCAGAAAAGGTAGATCATCGTGGCTGTCTGTTCCACTGAGCTTACTGTTGTCCTGCTTTGGATCTCTACAGTGAATTGTGAGAAGGAAATCTCATTATCTCCTGTTAACCAAGAAATTATTCCACAACACAGAGCCTTTTGAAAGGGTTTCTCTATGGTCGTGCTTGCAATCAAGGCTGAAATATGTAGCCCTCCATAACCTGACCAGATGGCAGTTTGCAAGCATGTATTTCTTCTATTTTCATTGCTGAATACTCTGCACCTTATGCTACAAGGAGTGAGGTATAGAAATCACAGTGAGAGAGATACTGTGAAGTATTGAAAACATGGGGGGAAAAAGCATCGATGTAATGTGCTCATGAGGGCTATGTAATCTGCCTCTGCAGAGCTGCTGAATTTGCAGGGGGTCCGTGCCCTATAGCTAGAGCAGCTGGTGTGCTTGTATGAATCCACGCAGAGAAATGTGGAACGCTTGTCCTTCGCACAGTCATCCAAATACGGAGGATACAGAGTAGGTCTGTTCTCTGGTGAGTTGAGAGGTCTCGGAAAAGTAGGGTTTGCAATGGGGTTTTTTTCACGCTAGCTTCTCAGAGAACGCTGATTTATCTTGCAGCCAGCAGACACGTACGTGTGTGTGTGCGTCTCCGTGTGTGTGTCTGTGTTGGAAGATCTTTTTGGGCAAATGCTAAAGCTGGTGCAATGACAACCAGTTTCAATCGCTTGACTAGGACATTACTAATTGACCCATGGCTGTCTCTACCACACCATAGTCCTGGCTTTAGCATCTATTAATTGCTCACTAACCCTTTGCAAGCTATTTATAAATGTATCATTAATATAAATGTAAGAACTTGAACAGTATGATCATACTAATCATTTTATAAGGTTGTACTACTAGTGAAAAATGTTTCCCCTTAAAAGAAGGACCGTTGTAGTGAAAATGAGTATTTTTGTTACTATTCTGGGTGTCAGTCAGAGGGAGAGCACAGATTTGTCTGCCTACTTCACTATCAAGCTCTTTGCTTCACATCAAGGCTTTTGTGAAAAGATTTGCTCTTGAGCATTTTCTCAGCCTAGGCAGTAAGGTTGTAAGCATTTATAGTGATGGAAGAGACAGGCGCTTGCTTCTTCCATCACTAAATTATTTCAGGCATCCCGCAGGAACTGAGCATTTAAGTATGGACAAGGCTCTCGTTTAGCTCTATTCTGAAGCCAGGAGACAACTCAGTAAAAATACTGGGATTTTTCTGCCCTCCTTTCAGTACTAGGGCAGCTCTACAGGAGCAGCCCCTGTGCAATTGAGCTTGTTTTCTGTGATCGGTGCTACAGTACAGTCTGAGTGTTGGGATGTTGTCCAGGGGTATGTTGCCAGTCTGTTTGCACTGAGAATTTCCCAGCAGACAGTACAGGTGAAAGCCATTTACACAGCTACCAGACACAAACGGGGGTGAATCAGAAGAAGCCAAGAAAACAAGCAGTACAGCTCCAGAGTGTGTGTCTTTTATCAAACGTATCAGGATCCAGTCCTGAAGCTGAGTCGTCTTAAATCAGACAGCCCTCATCTTGTTGATGCAAATGCCCACATTCCCTGCCTGATGGCTGAGGTTATTTTTAGCCATCTATATTAAATAGGCATGGCTGGCTTCTAGAAACAGTTTCTCATCTTGGACCTGTAGTTTTATGGTCTGAGCAACTGCAGGCTGGAACATTTGTTGGTAATATTAATCATTTTTTACAGGTCTCACTGCAACTGTTAGTCAGATAATTAGATTGGTTGAACCTGCAAAACTGTGCATGTCAATTCAGGAGAATATTTTTAAAATTAGTTACTGTATGTTAACATAATATACTCCATTATTTTGCTGTTTTGTTTTGTTTTAAGAGTACCAACTTATTCTTGCAACATATCCTTGCATCAGCAAAATAATGTGTTGTATAAAAAAAATATGTTTCCGTGTGAATATAGTATACTGTTTACTCTAGAAGTCATATTTTATTAATACAGTGTTTTTATTAATATAACACTGTCACTTCTTGAATTTTAATATTAAAACCAAAGGTCCTCTGATTTATGTATTTACCATCTGGCTAAGTTATTTAAGTTGCTTTTCCTTATACATTTATATGTTGTCCACCTCTTGCTATTTCTTTATTTATTCCATATCAGTATCTAACCACATGCACTGCCATTTCTGAAGATTTAACACTCTCTCAATCACTATGGAGTCTGTCTCTCATTCAATAATCATAGCGTCTTAAGAGCAGATTCAGTATGAATGGAAACAATGGACAGCTTTGTTACGTTAGTAAATTCTCGTATCTGCTTACTGCCTAACAAAGAGAACAAGTGGATAGCATGAAGTCAGATCTGTAAGAATCATAGAAACAAAAGAAAACAAGAACATACTTGGGTTTTTCCACTAGAAGACGACTTTGGATTGTGGTTTTCCTCCCCAACTAGGGATCTTATTCACAAAGGGAGAATGAGGATAAAGTCTATTCCCTAAGGCTTACCACCAATGACAAGCTGAGCTCTTGCAGAGATGTGGTTCAAATCTTCTGTTGCGTTAGGAGACATTTATTCAGTATAGCCAGCTCAACTGCATTACTTCGGTTTCTGATGTATAAAATCAAAGTATGACTCAAGGAAGTTGCTAAGATTTTAATATGCCTTGAAAGACATAGAGTATAATTTGATAGTTTTCCAAGAGTCCAGACAATGCTGCCTATACAGTAACTAATTTAATCTAGGGGAATGGAGAATGAGAGACCTCCTAAGGTGGCATGTCCTGGTATGGTCACTGAGAGCAGGGAAGTTTGAACGCTGAAGCTGTGTCGATGTGCATCAACAGAAAAGCTTTCAGTAGCTTCAGCAGTGCAGGGGGAAGCTGAAATCCTGAAGTCCGGATTCCATTTTCATTAAGCCCAAATAATGATCCGGTAAAAACGGTGTCAAAGCACCTGGTTGTGTTCCTCAAATGGGACTGTAGAACCATTGTTGTGGTTTAACCCGGCAGGGTTAAAGAATGGCTTGTGTCCCAGTGTGCCATACAGCATTACTGGATTAAGGCAGAAACAAGACATGCAAGATATACCTCTGAAACTGGCTTCTTTTCTGTGAGCCAGGAAACACGGGAGTTGGGTAACTGAGTTCTAGCTTTTGCTGATCCCAAATCCCACGTCATTTTTATTTTACTTGTAAAAGATAATGGTGATGAGATACTCGTTAAAACAGAATTAGACCAATTATAACATCTAGAGACCTAGCACACTAAAATATGTTGGGGTGTTTTGCAAACTTTGGGCATGCGGTGCTGTTACACCGCACATTGTTTCACGAGAGTATGTCGCATTAAATTAATACACTAGCGCACTTTTAAAAGATCTCTATTTGCATAAGAGTTGCATGTCTGAAAGTATTTATTGAAGTGATGATGCCCAAGTACACATGCTTCATAAATTAACCTTTGAATGTATTAGTCACCCCTTGGTCCCTTTCCAGCCAAGAAACACTCACGTACCAGTTCTGGATTTATTAAGCGCAATCATTCACAGTGCACATATGTAGAGCTGGGCAGCCCGCGGGACCCATTTTCTCCATACCCAGGAAAGCAAGGGCAGGATCAGGGCAGGAGTCTGCACTGAGGAAGAACCTTGTGGTTCACCATTTCATGCTCCAGATTAGCACACCTTTGTCATTTGTAGAGTACAAAATAAACAGGTTTTGGAGTGAAATCCTGACTCCATTGAATTTGATGGCCTGAAAAACTCTTATGGACTTCTGCAGGGCTGGAATTTCAAGCTCTCTGTTTATAATTTTGAATCCCAGTTCTCTAGTAGATCTCTTAGTTTAGCTCTTTCATCCATCCTGAGTGTGTCAGAACTGAGACTCACTTCCTTACGAGAAAGACTTTTCTGAGGAAACACTGTTCTCTGCACCCTGAAATGGTATCAGGACTTGAAGGTGGAGTTATTTTCTGTGGGTGTTTGAGTACTCTGTTAATTTGCTACTTTGTGATTCTTCTTCTTTTCATCCTGCTTTTTTTAAGTAACTTGCTTTTTATTGCAGACTGCAAACCCAGTACACTTAAGCTTCCATACTCATGCTTCTTTCTGAAATGTTTTGCTTTAGTTTTTTAACTGTCGTCGTGCTGTGAACTTTGCAGATTTGTTTATGAGTGTCACGTGCTTCTGCTACATCTGCATTGTCACTGTTATGGTATTTTTTCTTTCTGTCTGTTTCTTCCACAGGAGTTTAACAAGTAATCTGCCCAATGTGAATCTACCAAATGTGAATCTCCCTAAAGTACCAAATCTACCAGTTAACATCCCACTAGGCATCCCACAAATGCCTAGCTTTTCTGCACCGTCATGGATGGCTGCTATTTATGATTCTGAGTGTGTATTCAGTTCAAATTAGATCTCATTTAAATTTAAAGTAATCTTGGCATGGATATGTATTGTTTGTTTCTGTGCATTATATAAAACTTTAAAGAGTGATACAGTTAATTAGACATTTTCTGAATGAGACACTAGTGAATTTCTGGCATGTGTATTTTGAGGGGGTTTTTTTGTACAAATCTAGAAAATTTGTCTTACTCCCACTGAAAATTCGAGCAAGTATCTTGCTTTACAAAATAGCTGTCGACAATGGGACACGGTCTGAACAACGTACGAACCACAGAGCTTATAATGTGACATTATGTGTCTCAGCAAAGAGTTTTGTCCAAAAGAGAAGATGAACCAATTTCAGTGTCAGTCAACCAATTCTGTGGACCAGATGTAGATCTAAAAGTGAATTTTATTTAACGGAAGCTCCGCATTTCCCAGATAATAATTTTTGTCTTGATTTTGATGACACAGAAAGAGGAACACCCTGCAACAACTCTTATCCATGTTGGGGGAGGCTCCAGAGAGCAATTAAAGCTCCATAGCCATCTTTACAGCCTGAATAATGCCACGACCTACTAAAGAAAGATATTTTCAACGTGAGCTTTAGATTATGGGCTGGAAATTCAGGCATGGTGTCAAAGCAGTCGATCTGTAGGAGCCTTGTGCTCCCAGGTCCCTTGTCCGAGCATCCCAGGGTGCACGGGTGGAGCTCAGGGAGGACATACCACAATCCTGAGCACAGATTAGGCAACTGCTGTTCTTGTAGCAGATTTCCCTTAAAAGTCCCAGCCACCAAGCAGTATGGAGGGTGGGACACCCTCAAACTCAACTTTTGGCTCAACCCAAATCTCGGCATTTGAGGTAGCTCCTCTCCCGAGATGTCCTAACACAGGAACTGAGATCTTGCCAGTTCTCCATCCAAATTCCTAGAGGGTTACTTAGGGTTGGCATGGGGTGATCTCAGCCAGCGCTACACAGATGTGTTGCTTTTTCCCTACCTTCTCTACTTAAAAGATAAAACTGAAGAAGCCCCCCAAAACTACCCCTGTTACTGTTACTGAAACACCCTTGATTACATCTACAGCTGGAGTCCACCAAAATGCCTCTGCCATTAGCCTCGTGCAGGCTTTATTGCATTTGATTTTTTAATAGATTTTACAAACTTTTTAAATATTAGCACGGTCGTTTATGTTTCAAAGCTATACAACTCATATTCATGCTAAGATAGCTATATTAAAGGCTAGCTTAGGCAGTTGTCTGTAAAGAGTACTTGAAAGTTTTAATCTTTCTCTGTGCATGCTTTGTGGTATTGCCCTTGAAAAGATAAGAATCATGTCATGACAGAAAATTGGATAATCCCTCTGAAAATGCTTGAGCATCAATGGTACATTGCAAGCTGCCTGCATGATTATAGGGTAATTGCGGTGCTCACAAGCAAAATATCAACAGTGCATCTTGGAAATTAATATGCTATATTGTTTACTTGCACGGAGCCCTAATCAAAAGTGAGAAAAAGACCAAGAATAATACTTTAAAAATTTTGCAACCAAACAGGTGTCATAATGTTGCTGTAGTAAATACCAATTACTATATTAGTACGTATTTAATTGCCTAAAACTTAAATTCATGTATTTCCAAAACTGGGTTTAGACTGTTAAAGCTTATTTATACCCAAGCACAGGTTTGAACCAGGCGAAACTAAACACTGACAGTAGATGAACGCTTGAGGCTGTTGTACAAACTGGTCCCTTGGTGAAAGGAAATGCCTGATTCTTTATCTTTTCATCTCCCTGGTTTCCTTTTACTCACCCTTCCCCTCCATCAAGGACATGTTACCTGTTGCTTAGTGTCGGATACGTTTCTCCTACAACCGAGACGATTCATTCTTTATCTCGTTAACGCTGTTAGCGCAGGACCCCGCAGGACCCCTCTAGCATGTTGGGACTACGGTTCTCACCTTGCAGTAGCCGTGTATGCATTAGCTCCGATCTCCTCTAGCATTAACTCAATGCAGCTGGCATCTGTCACAATAGAAACACCCTCCCTCATCTGTTTCTATAGATGATGTCAGCACAAGTGGTAATGCATGGTGTGTTAAATATCTTATAAATTACCGTGTTAGCATTAGTGGTATGCGAGGAGGGGGTTGAAACTCTTGAAGCTCCCTTGGTAATTGTTCGGAAAAAAAGTGAGGGAGAAGGAGAGAGGGAGAGAAAAGGGTTATGGATGCATAAATTTCTCTGCACAAACAGAGCTCAATCCAGTTCTGTATTTTTATTCTGTAAGTGGAGGTTTGAGATATAATTATACTGTGAAAAGAGCCGGTGTAGCTTCACACTGCAGGACCAAAGACTTCCATCTGGGCAGGGGTGTGGGTACAAGAATATACACTTGGGAGAGAAATTCAGAGTTTTGTGACAGACCAAAGATGTTGCAAAATAAATTTTACAAAATGGAAATTTGTTGTCCTATAGATGCCTTTGCAAGAGGCAGATCTGTGAAAAGGTGCAGCGGTCAATCCTGCCAAAACTCCTGGATATGAGATGTCTAGTGCCCTTAGCTCAATTGACTTACTCCGATTTTTTTTCAGCTGTTCAAGAGATAAAGCGTGTCCTCGCTCACCACTTGTTAGCACTGTCCCTTACCTGGAAACGGGGCCTCACTGGGGGAACAAGGCAAACTCAAGATATAATTCGGAGGGGGGAGAATTGCATGAAACCCTAAATCTTAATAACTGCATACAGCCTAGTATGGCAGTTATTATTGATTGAGGATTTTCTACCACAATTTTTGGCCTTAATTCTTAATAATCACATACGTTAATGTGGTTATTAACTAAGGCTGATTTTTACCATACACACATTCTTCCTGTTAATATGTGTAACTCATAATGTTGTCTTACTCATCTGGTCTGGAAAGTTTTGTGGGTGATGACAGCAAGGTAGATTAGGCAACTGTATGGTAAAACTCAAAATCCTGATGGTGGAGATTGCCAGCGTTGTCCTGTGTATGAAACTACTGTCTGCTCTACACTTGTTGCAGGAATGGTCTCCACATCAGGTTACAAAGAGCTTGATGCCACTTATGACTTTTGTTCTCATTTTGCCCTGCCAGCAATGGATCAGGCACCTCGGAAGATCTCTTCTGGAAACTTGATGCCCTACAGACCTTCATTCGGGATTTGCACTGGCCTGAGGAGGAGTTTGGAAAACACTTAGAGCAACGCTTGAAGCTTATGGCGAGTGACATGATCGAGTCCTGCGTGAAAAGGTACGTGCCCATGAGCGAACTAGTCATGTTTCTCATAGGACCTCACAGGATGCAATGTTTTTTTCTGTCTTAGGATCACTGAAGCTTCACTTCAACCGCCATTTATTAGTGACCCCAGCTCACCTCCGCCCAGCACAGGCGTGGTGGAAGGCCACCCTATTGCTGTGAATTGTGGACTCTCCCAAGCCAGCTCTTCTCTGTTGAGGCTCCGGAGGTTGCATAATCACAATAAGGCAATAAATCACCCATTCTTTCAAGCTTTATGGGACGTTACTTATTTTCAGTGCTGCACGTGCAGTCAAGTCCTTGTAAATGCAGTTTGCTGTTGGCAGGATTGAGTGCTGGAGGCATAGTTCTAAGTAAGATACCAGCACCCACCTAAAAACCACAAATCTATGAGAAAACAAGCAAAGAAGTGATCCCAGAGAGGGGATGCTGTGTAGCTTGGCACACAGGCTTCACGTCTGCCATCAACTGAGAAAAGCTGTTGCATCATCAGCCACATTATAGGATACTCATCTGCAAATCTTCCAAAACAGAGAGGTTTCCTTAAAAAACTTTTTGACCGTACAGGCAGCTGTCATTTTGAAAACAAAATGTTAAGATTAAATGTCTAACCTTTCCACAGGTTTTTTATTTATGTCTATTTGGCATCAGAGGTGATGAGGCAGGAGGAAGAAATGAATTTTGCATTCCATTGTGCAGAAATTAATAGACAAAGAGACAAACTAAAGGAAAAATGGGTGCCAAATACAGCTGGTAGATGCTAATATTAGCTGCAATGTGTGATATGGCTGTTCTGTACCACAGTTGCCTGGCCACTCTGTAAGTGCGAGCGTGGCATTTATTGTTCACACGTTCCTCACAGTCTGGATATGCAACGTCACCGTAGGAGAAGGCACGTTTGGTCCCCGAGATGTAGGCAGGAGACTCACCTGCTGGAAGGCAGACAGCTTAAGGCTTGCTCTGGAATAAAACCCAGTACATTTTAAGTGCAATGAGATGGTCATGTCTTTGGCATTGAGCAAGTCCCCCTTTATTGCAGCAGCTCATCTTTGGTCCTTCGGCCGGCACGAACGCTGAGCTTCAGTTGTCCTCCAGTTGTCAGACCATCCTTTAGGAGCCAAGCCAAAGCTGGAGCTCTGCTCTCTGCTCTTCCCCCAGCACCACCAGCAAAACACTTATTTTCTCTTTTTTTTTTTCTTTTAAATTGGAACCAAGGCACCTTTGCTACACCTGCAGTGCAGTTATAGCTGTGGTGATCTATAGAAATCAGACCAGGTTAGCTCAGCTGAGATAACTGGGAAAAATAAGCAAGTTTCCAGGTACATCTGAAGAAGGGCTTGTGTGCCTGAAAGCCGAGGTTCTTTTCCCAACTGCTTCAACCTTTCTACAAATATGTTGCCCCTCTGTAAAAACCTGGCCCAGCTTGTAATGGTATGACTATATATAATGGTTCTGAGCATAAGTAAGTAGGAACATGCTCATTTCTGCAAGGAGATGGAAAATCCCAGTCGCTTTGGGTCCTTTCAGTAATTATCAAGATTCTAGTCCCCGAGTCCAGGCTAAATCTGGCACTGGTAATTAAATCAGTTCAAATGCCACTGCTGATGTAAACCAATATGCTGCCTTCCCTATTTATATCACCTGCAAACAGGGCCTGGCTAAGGTTTCTTTAGCAATTTCAGTTTGACACAACATTTTTCTTCGCGTCTGTCTCTGAACTGTTGAATACCATGGAGGAGCCACCCCGCCTTCCGCACTTGGTTGTATTTTGGTGCTGTCAGGAAAGCAGCCCTTGCAAGGAAGGCCTGTTTCGCTCATAAATCCGGGCAGGAGGACCTATGTACCAACTCAGATCTCATCCCAAGAATGGGAGTTTCACATTTGTAAATGAGTTTTCATTTGCATAACCCTTGGGGGATCATTCAAGATCAGAGTTATTCCTGAGCTGCAGCTGATATTATTTGTTATTTCTAAATTGAAGCTCCTATGTTAATTTGTTGGCAGATTCTGTCTGATGTGATAATTGTTCTGTGTTAGGTTAGATTAGTGAAGCATCTCAGGAATCTGCAGAGGGGCTCCAAAGAAAGGCAAGGCAATGCCCACCGTACTACAGAGTATTCCCCCTGTTAGAGTCACAGATGCCTTGGTATTTTAAAATACGACATGGGATAAAATGCTGTAGTCTTTGGCCCAACAAAGCTCTTGGTGTAACACGGTTTGTAACTGCCAGGAATGTCAAATTTGAGCTCAGTGAAACCCCAGGAGAGCAGCGAGGTGCGGGCTCATGTGCGATGTGTGTGTTCATACGTTCACGACTGCACCCGTGCACCTTTTGCAGACGTGTTCTGGTGAGTATGTATGCTTCAGGGAAACTACTTCTATGAACTTATGAGACAATTAGGAACTTTCAGCAAGCAAGTAAAATCATGTAGACCTAAAAATGCAGTGATCTGGCAATGTCCTTTCAGTCAAGCAATGAACAAGCTTCTGTTATTTGTAGTTGGTATCATGGAGCAACAGGAGCTTCCTTTAATACGTCAGGCTTGCTATTTGTCTGTGGTTATAAATCAGATAATGCAACCAAATTATAGGTTGACACTGCTGTTTGTAGCATCATCACACTGTTTATCAAGCATGAGAAAGTCATAGTTTCCTTGAAACCGCTGCACACTTTATAAATAGTGTGTATTCCGGAAAGTGGGTTTCTTTTTAAACTGGGAAATCATTTTTAGTAAAAGCACATTTGTAACAATTGCACTATAACACCCCCAGCAGCATTTGGCCTTCTGGTTTGTTGAACTCTTCTCAGTATTGTTTCACATTATTATTAGCTTCAGTATGTTAAAAAGCAACTGAAATGTCTTTTTTCTCTTTTCCTTAACAGAACCAGGATTGCATTTGAAGTAAAGCTGCAGAAAACCAGCCGATCAACAGATTTCCGAGTCCCTCAATCAATATGCACCATGTTTAATGTCATGGTGGATGCCAAAGCTCAGTCAACAAAGCTTTGCAGTATGGAAATGGGCCAAGAGGTAAAAATGCAGGTTCTTCCCTTCAGAGCTTTTAAAGGCAATGTCATGAAATTTCCTATCTCCTGCTGTGCTAGTTTCAGAGGCGTTATATCAGTTGTGGATTTAGCCTTCCATATAGAGTGTGCAGATGAATATGCAGGGGGTTGCTCTCAAATAAATCTAATTAATGTAAACATTCAGAATTCCTGTCACTTAGGAGTGACTTTTTGCAAGGACTGTGGTGTGCATAAGGTATCTCTTAAGCCTGCTTGATGCACGATGACCATGTATCTTGAGCCATTAACTGCACCTTGGAGCCAGGTGTCGGCAACACACCTTCTGTGTGTGACTAGTTTCTGTAGATAAACATAAGGAAAATGGAAGTGCCAAGATGTTGCTGTGATGCTTGTAAGGAAAAAAAAAAAAAAACAAAAAACAAAACACCAAAATAGATAACTTCCAAAAGTAGATTGAAATTCCAGCTGCTGTGACTTCCTTGAGTACTGGCTATAATCAGCAAGCTTGATGATCCTGGATTTCCAGGTTCTTAATGACTCAAGTTGGCAAACAACAAACCTGTTTTAATTAATTGCTGGTCAGTTTTTTTCTTCTGAAGCCATAGTTGCAGGTTGAAGTTTCTGTGAATTGATCTATGAATTAGAAAGACTCGGTAAACTGGACTAGATTGAATGTATCATAATGATCATTTTACTACAGCAGCTTCAGGCCAAATTAAATATTCCTATACCAGACTAGAATAAATTCACAAATACTGCCTGGCTGTCCTATCCTGCTGCTTGTCAGCATTTCCTAGATAAGCCCTTTCGCTACAACTTCCCATGGTCAGATTTTGCAGTGAATCATTATAAGTTGTTGGTTTGGTGTTTTTTTTAAGTTGTTTACCTCACCCTGTTCCTCTGAGAGGACTTGCTCCAAAGGCCACTGAATACAGCAGGGGTCCTTGCCTTGATGTCAGTGGTGTTTGGATCAGACCCAACTGTTCTTTTTATTTTTCTTATACATCTTTCAGTTATGACATTTTATTTGTGACAGTCACCTTGCAAGAGAGGTTTCAAACTGCTCATCATCAGGTTCTTCCTTCGTCCTCCAGGACAGCTGAGGCAGATCTTGAGTGGGCTTTTGTTGTCCGAGCCTGGACATGAACTTCTCTACCGTTTTCTGTTCCATATTCATACCCATTTATCTCCCCAAATCCCTCAGCCTGCAGCTGCTGCAACATCTGCCCTGGCAGTGCCCCGTCAGCCAGGAAGGGCCATGGTTGCGATGCTCCCCACTGCAGACGAGGATCAAACCCTTGTGCGTTATACTAGCACAGTCCCTGGGGACAGGGACATTTTGGAGATCAAGCAGACTCCGATATCATGACAGAGCAAGCTCATTGCATTCGTAAAACTGTCACGTTAAGTATTCAGATGGCACAAGATCGATAACATCAGCTGCGTCGGGATATAGAGTGACCAGGCACTCGCTGCATCTTTCCATGCTATCTTGTGGTGCTCTGTGCTTGCCACAGTTTCCTCCGAATTCTGAGCATCAGTCACGTTGCACATTTGGCCCGAGTCAAACTGCAAGTGAGAGGGGAGCGGCAGCAGCACGGTCGTTTCTCCGCTGTTCCCAGCTGCAGCGGGGATTAGCTCTGCAAATCTGCCTGTGCCGCTTTAAGAAGGTGTTTGGTACGGCAGCTCGGAGACAGCCTAACTCCTGTGGCAAGCAGCAGTCGCTGGGGCATGAGGTTTTTAACAGATAGCTGAACTAATAGACCTGTAAAGCGGATGTAAATTATCGGTGCATAAGTTACCATTTAGGGCGGCAGGATTTTATACACCCTCCCTTTTTCTTTTCTTCCTTCTAATGAGCATTCCTACCTCCCCCTCCATTCACTCGTGCTACTCCGTATTTCAGCTACCTCCATCTTCTCTTCTTGAAGCTGTCTTCACCTGTGCGCTGAGATGGTCGCGCTGGGGGGGTAAGATAGAGATCTGTCGCTACAGCCCATGAGGGGAGGACAAAATGCCACCCCTCCTCTTCCAGTCCCGGTGGAAATGATGAGACAGTCAGATAGACACCAGAGGGATGAGAAACCCGATTTTGAGCCTGCGTCTTCCTCCGTAATCTGGGGAGCTGGGTCTGTGCATCGTTGAGTCCCTCTGTGCCCTGTCCCTGGTGCGTGGCCGCCTGCAGCCCCGCTGGGGAGGGGTGGGCAGGGAGGGAGGCACAGCCGCTCCTCGCCAACGGGACCCTCCCTCAGTGCCGCAGCCGCCGCGTGGCTCCTAAAATACGTGCTCCCTTTGCAGACAGTTCAAAAGCAGCAAGAAGGGCTCAAATTGCCCACCGCGGTGCTCGGGCAGGGGCGTTTGGCCAGACCTAGATGGAGATTTTGATTAGAAACAAACCACTGATTTTTCTGACGGTCCAAGCTGTACGTGAGCAGAGGCTCTCAACACGTTCCTTGACCTCGCTCCTCCTCCCACCCCAGTGGCCTTCCCTATAAGACTACCTTCAGTTACACTCACTTTAACAGATACTTGAATGCATTTTGCGAGCATTACCCTGTGAAACAAACACCCATCATTTCATTTCCATTTCCTTGTCTCTAAAGGCAGCTGTTAAAACATTTGGTAAACATACTTTACCATCTTAAATATTTATTTTTCCTCTGAATTTTTAATACATCTAAGGGGATAAATGTATGTATTAAATGTTTCTCAGTTGGTCTAGTATGTTTCTATTTAATATCTAAGGTCAGATGGTCCTTAGAGAAATACAACGTACACACAATCTGTTACATGACAAGGCAAGATACTCATCACATAAAGTCAAGTTGAATCATTGTAGTGCACTGATTATGGATTGTAATAATCGAGCTAATAGAAAGCTGCGGATGAACTCGATCGAAAGTGGGGGCTACGCTTGGTGAAGCAAACCAGTTATGCAATCTTTAACCTTGGGCATTTTCATAAGGAATGTAGAAGGAGCTGTTGGAAACACTGGTTTACGAGCCAGGCGCCTGTGAAAGCAGCACCAGGCAGTCGTTTTCCAAACCGCCGCCTTCTCCGCCCCTGTCCTGGCCGGGGCTCGTCTTCCCAAGGTGGAGCTGGGGCTGCAGCGTGGGCATGGGCATGCAGACCCAAAGTCTGCAGCATGGGTGCACATCGCTGTGGCTGCCCGGGGCAGGACCCGCAGCCTCACGGGCCCTATTCTGCGCAGTCGCTGGCCCTGGCGCCGGGTCTGCGTCTGCCCCAGCGACTGCGGCCGCAACGGCAATGAGCGGTCAGAGTCCTACCAGCACCGCCTTGCTGCGTGCACAGGGTCCTCTCCTGCTCTCAGAGCTGCCGTTGTATTCCATCAGGGCTCTTATTTGCTTTTTAAACAAGCTTTTAATTGATTTTAATGCATTGGTCAGTGCATTTCACAGTGTATTGTTTGGCATATAGCTAGCCATTTTTGAGTTAAAACTCATTATTTACCCAAGGAAAGCAGTTAGCTAAATCCCTGGTTGTGAGGTCTTACACACACAGAAAATGCAGCAGCAGAAGGAAAACGTCATGGGGAAGACACCCCCAATATATGCACAATCCCTTCAAGACGTGTATATGTCTTGACCTGCAAAGCAGGACATGGAAGTGGGAACTGCAAATGCAAATATCACTTGCTTGCTCATGTCTGTTTTTTCCTCTGAGCGGGCCCAGCAGATCGCAGCCTGCGGCGTGGCAGTGCCAGCCTGTCCTCCCGCGTGGGTGAGACTCTGAGGGGCCCCGGCCAGGTCCTCGGCCGCGGTGTGCTGCACCGTGCACCCCTGCCCTGCCTGCCCTGCCCTGCCCTGCAGCAGGGCTCGCCCTTCGGGTACGTCCTGGTGAAGGGTGTGCAGCTGCCCCGATGCTGAACGCTGCCTGTCTACAGCCGGTCACCTTCCTCTTCGGAGCGAAATAAAACTGTAAGAGACTGTCAGCAGTTAGGTACAATCCTGTCCCTTCCCCCTGTTTTACTGCCTGCAAATACTACAGGTAGCTATCTCTGATATTTCAGTGAAAGGAGGTTTTGATCATGTTTCATTTTCCATTGCTTATTGTTTCTGTGCATGATGCTGCTGTTCTCATATGTCCCTTTGTTTTTAAAGACTTTGGTTTATTTATTGTTTATCTTCATATTTTCCTGTCTTTTGCACTTTCCTCTTTATTTCTGTCCCCAATCATCTGAAAAGTTTGCTAAAGAGTGGGTAAGTGTGTCCTACTTTTATTTTCTTTTTTTTTCAAATTCCTGTATTAATATGTTACTGTCATAGAAAAAAATCCCCAAACTGTAGAGCAGTTCAGAGACTGCCGATCAGACACTGAGACCAACATCTAGCATTTGTAAAACCCTCACAGTCTTCCTTCCCAAAGTCTGATTAGTATTTAAAGCAGATTTGTCTCTTTCAATGTGATTTGATGTTAACATTTTAAAACAATATTAATGCCAAGTGGTAATGAATATAGTGACTAGCACCAGTGCTTGAAATGTTTGACTGAAAAATCAAATGTTTTGTGTTGGAAAGCAGTCATAATCAGTATTTTCTCAGTCCATTGAAAATAAGAATATACTGTATGTTTTCACTAATTAAATCTTGTATTGGAAACAGGTCTTTTCTAAATTAGTAGAAGACTGTATTTTAGTACCTATTCTAGCCATATTGCAGCTGATTGCATCAGAGCTCCCAAGCTAAGCAAGGTTTGGCATGTGCAGAAATTAGGTTGAAGACTCAGAAACGCTGATGCTGCAGGCGCTGGCGTTGGTCAGCCGGTTCTGAGCTCGTGCCGCAGGATCTGCTGACACCCAGGGCTGAGGGCTGCACTGCCCGCTGGCTTTTGCATGGGACAAAAAGGCTCATCTTGGTTTGTTGGGGGTTTTTAAATCTATCTTACAGTCACCGAGCAAAGCATTTCAGCGAGTGCTGAATTTGAGCCATGTGCCTGCTGAAGCCGGTGTGTAACACGCGTTCGTGCGCTTTGCCGCAGCAGGCAGGAGGTGCACAGCACCATCTCCGGTGGTTCAGCCCCCTGCAGACTCCCCTGCTGCAGCAGATCCTCCCCACTCCCCTCCTGAGGGCTCTGTGGTTTGCGGTGCCCTGGGCAAGGGCTGCCCGTTTCCCTCCGGCGGCAGGCGTATCTCCTTGTCAGGGGTGATCCATGTGAAAAATGAACAGGATAAGGCCCGCAGAACTGAAGCAAAAGGACTTCAGGGTCTCTAGGAGCACTGGGTGCTGGTGCTCTCGGGCATGGCAAAGCCTCCCCTCCGACCTGTGCCTGTGGCTTCTGGAGCTGCGGGCACACAGAAGAGGGCAGGGTTTGCCCATGCTTCACAGACGGATATAAGATTCTCCTGAACTGAAGGTCTCTCCTGTAAGTGTAAGTAATCACTGGCCACTATAGTGGAGCACAGGGTAATAAGCTGCATAATTCTTTGGTTTAATACTGCTGCATATTGTGGTTTACCAAGGGAAGAGGCTGACAACCACAGAGCTCTTGCCTCTGATCAATACTAATATTTTCCTCCCCCTCTCCTTTTATTTTTCTTTAGCACCAGTACCATTCAAAAATAGATGAACTAATTGAGGAAACCGTCAAAGAAATGATAACACTCCTAGTGGCAAAGGTAACCTTCGGCTTCAGGTGAAGTGATTCACTGTTAACATTGCGTTTTTAATATGTGCGTTTCCATTAAAATGTGACACATTAAGATGTTGAATTGGCTTCTTGTTTCTCACAGGCAAGCTCGTACATCTCCCAGTCCTTTCGTGGTGACTCTTTGATGATTAGGAACTGCGTGACATGTAATACGCTGCTAGCATTGGATAGGATTGCCGTACGGGGCCAGAAGTGGTTTTAAGGAATGGGTGTTATGTTGATGGGGTAACACCCCGTGGTCAGCATCACCCCACGGCACGGAGGGTAGCTGCAGTCAGGGGGTGGCACCGCTAAATGCTGCTGCGTAGACATTGGGGTGGCACGCAGAGGTGGTCACCACTCCTACGCATAAGGTTGTGCGGACAAAATAGCTCCTCTTGTGCAAGATCGCCATATGCTCTTCTAAGAAATTAATTTAGAGGTGACAGTAGTGGGAAATACATTCCAAAATGTCAGGTTTAATTGTTTGGAAATTGTTTTTCATCAGAGTCGGCTCCTCTAGCTCAGCTGCCAGCATTTCCCTTGGGTTGTTGTGTAGGTCTGGTGTGCCGCACTAACACAGAGAGGAATTGGTACGTAGGGCGAAAGATGGTGGGGTGTGTTTTCCTCTAGTTTCAAACTTTCTGAGAACAAGTCATCCCTATTATACAGTGGAGACCTTTAAACACAATCCGCCAACATATGCCAGTTCGATTCTTCTGCAAGAATACCCAGCTAGCTGCGTGCTTGACACTGCGTACTGGGAGCAGGAACCACCAGCTCCCCGTCCAGAGAGGCTGTGCTGGCTTCCCCGCGTGCTGCACCCACCTCCTGTCCCCAGCATCACCCATAACGCCGAGGGGTGACTCCCACCCAGCGAGATGTAGCACCCGAAAGGCAATGCTTGTTTCTCCCCGCCCCCCGGCCCGCTCCCTCGGGGACAGGTGGTCCGTTCCTTTGGCAATGCTGAGATCTCCACTGACTTCTTTGAAGCTGATGCTGATTTTTACACCTTTGTTCAATTATTAAAAATAATTGCAGTATTTTTTGTCTTCATAGTTTGTCACCATTTTGGAGGGAGTCTTGGCCAAACTGTCTAGATACGATGAAGGAACTTTGTTTTCTTCTTTCCTGTCATTTACTGTAAGTACGGACAATATTTTCCTTTCTTTTTTTTTTTTTTTTCCCCTGGGTTGTAATCTCCTGCTCTCCCAGGACTAGATCAGCTACGTAATAATTCTGCCATTCTGTGATGTTTGAACACTGTAACCCCCTCATTAATGCACAACCCGTATGCAAATATACGGTACATAAACGCCCAAGATGCATAGGCTGTCTTACTGTAGCACAGTGTAAAGCTATCTCTAGTCATCATCCAGGCTGGTGCACTTTATTCTGTTGAGGATGCATATGAAGATGAGAAAAAAGATCATTGCACTGTTCACACACTTTCCCTAACTAAAGAAGTTGCTTCATTGCCACCTTGCATGACAGGTGTGTTCCTTTCATTCTGCCGGCCGTGACAGCGACCATCTTAAGAAGTAAAAAACAAAATAAGGGAGGTCTAAGGAGTGCCTTCGTGTTTCTAAAGGAGAACAAGGTGGGGGAAATGCCATGAGGTTACGAGCGCAAGGTGCGTCTCATGACACGTTTCTCCCTAACATTGCAGAACGAATCCACAGCTCATCCCATTACATATTTCCTAGAAAAGTACAGGACAAGAACAATATCCGTGCAAAATTGGCCTCAGTATCCACAAGGGTTTAGCAATCTGAGCTGTATTCCAGAAAAGTGTTGTGACAGCTTCTTAGGACAAACACATAGCAGCCGATTTTCAAAGGTCTTCTGAAAAGGCACGCCAGAAAGTTTACAAGAGCGTCTGTTTGCAAGCGTGGCTTCTCTTAGCTCAGCTCGCAGACAGGTGTGCACCCAAATGCATGTGTCTGGGCTCGCCTGGAAAGTTGCATTAACGTGTTCACCCACCGGCCCCGCTGCCCGCATGCGCACCCTGTCCTGCGCTCACTTGTTCACGGAGAGCGGGCAGGAGGCAGAAGGCGCTGCTCTGCAAACTGGGAAGGCTTTCCAAAATCTCTTTCAGGAGTTGTCTTCGCTACTTCTAGTTGTCTGTTGTTTACTACCCTTAGGCCCCTTCTGCTGAGTTTGAGGCAGCTTTGTAGGATCCGTTTGGAAACGGGGATGGTAAGAATGGATGTAGGAAAGCTCACCGGCTGAGGCAAGACACTCTGCTCGCAGGCAGCTGTGTGCACACACGGTCTGGCAGCTTACCGAAACTGCCGTGGCGTTCAAACTAAGCATCACAACTTTTCAGGTGTGCTGCAGGCACTTTGTTCTTCAGAGTAGGAGGGGAAAGGAGGGTGTCCCACTCGCTGCCCCGCAGTGCAGCTCTTCTCCCAGGATAACCCCTGCACGGTTATCTGCCCCAGGGCTGGGCTCGCCCTGCTCGGGGGGATGCAGGGGATGGCTCAGGGTGGATACCTTCCCTCATTCCAGTGCTGCTGACAGGAGACGCTCGTGTGCCAGCAGCAGAGGATGTGGAGGCGGCAGCTTTTCAGGCATCGGAAGTACCAGCATCAGCCCGGGTAGACGGTGTAACGTGCAGCCCTTCCTTCTCCGTGAATCCAAGCTGTTCCTCGGTTGATGCTGCGCTGCTCCCACCACATCCTACTGTTTACGCTGCCGAGTGGTGCTCCCTTTGATTGCTGAGCGAACACCCCGGCCGCGCTCGGGCTCTGGGCGCCCGTGAGGAGGCAGCACGTAGGTGCGTGAGGGTCAGACATCCTCACTCACTCCTCAGACACTGCTGACAACTAACTGCCCCAGCAGCGGCAAAGCGGTCTGCCCCGCTCTGACGGCCCTGCAGTCTTTGAGCCCAGCTCCACAGCTTCAGTTTCCTGAGTTTCCAGCCGGGAAGGTGTGTGCATCCAGACAGTTACTGTGCATCCGTCTACATCCAAATAGTTACTGTGCGTGGTGTGTGCACGTCCCCTGGAAGGTGCTGAGCCCTCGCCCCCAGCAAGGAGGCTGGGTGCACTGCGGAGGAGCAGGATTGCTCCTTTCTGGGCAAGGGACACTTCTCGCTTTGGCCTGCTTGTTTACTGGGAGCCACTGGGCAGCACCAGCCACAAGAGGAGGCTGGGGAACAGCCCCGACCCCTTTGGCATGGGGCTTAGAAAGTCTCCCTTCCCTGCAGTAGTAATGGGATTTGCTGCGTTTAGTCTTTGCAACGATAAATAGAGAAACTCTCTCTTGTTACAGCGTGCTTGCACCACCGCCCACGTTTTCCCTGTCTGAACAAATACAACAAAGTGGTGGTCCAAGCCGCTGAGCTCTAGAAAGCATTAGTCTCCCACCCCCTTCCACCGACTTCTTTCATCGCGTGTTTTCCAGGCGCTCTGCAAGTGACATGTAATCGGGGGTCTTGTGACAGACAGTTTTATCACCTAGTGGGATATCCTCATTTCCAATTCTTGCCTCGAAATTCAAGATAAAATTAATGCATCTGTTGTCCTAATAAATTCTCACTAGCCACTTCTCCTTGCAGAGCACTTTGGGAGGAAAATACCCTTCTAAATTTGGCCAGACTTTTTTTTTTTTTTTCTCCTGTTTGTTGCTACATTTAAGTGCATCTCGGCAGCAGCAGCCCAGGCCCTGGCTGGGCGTCTGCGTGTGCAGATCCACTGAGTCACAGGAATGACAGCTGCTAAAATTCCCTTTAATCTGGATGGCCTCTGTAGGCGGAGAATTGCACCTACGGTAATTAAAACTAAAGACTGCATATTACCTGAGGGAGACAGAAGCAAAAGATCTTATTTTTGTTCTGTGCAAAATTTGTATGGTAAACTGAGACGTTTCATGGCAAAGTCACATACTTTGTGAAAAACGGCAGCCTAGCAAAAATCACACAACATCCGGCAGTTTGGAAATTTCACTAAATGTAGCCAAATCTGAGTTTAAAGAAAAACAAGTAATTATTCTGATTAAAGGGGAGTGGGCAGGAGAAGCAGCTCAGGTTTTTTTGTGGGTGGAGGGGGGAGATCGCAGGAAGCCAACCGAGTTATTCTTGTCTTTGGGGAAGAAGGCAGCTTGAGATGGTGGTGCTAAGCTGGACCTAAGAGCGCTAAATCCACGCTCAGACTGCAGGTTTCCTGGAGTCCTGCCGCATTACTTGATGCCCTGTGTGGTATGTGAAGATACAGGTGCGTGGCATGGCGCAGCCCCGAGCACGGACCCCGGCTTCGGTTCTGTGGGCTGTTGAGCCGCATCGCTTTTCCGAGCTTTCCTCCTGGTTGTTTCCGAGCTTTCCTCCTGGTTGTTTAGCTGTGCTGCTCAGAAAAAGAGCTCGTTTGGAGCTAGCTTGGGTAGCCCTGCCTGCGGCTGCTCCACACCAGCGTGGGTGTGCCGTGACTGCCTGCTCCTCCGGAGCTGCAGCCCTTGGCTGGGCTCCAGCTGCCTTCACGCATGGAGGCTGCGGCTACTCCGCTCCCGTTTGGCAGGAGCAAGGGATAGCGCTTCACTACCTCCCAAGAAAGTTGTGAGGATAAATGCAGTGAAAGAGCGAGGTGTCCAGACGGCCAGCTGGGAACGGGGATACCTGGAGGAGAGATGAGCGTTTGCTCTTCGCTGGGAGCAAGGGCTTGGCACTGATTTTGCCACCTCCTTTGTCAACTCGTGTGCTGGGACGTGCCCCGTCTCCCTCCATCCCCTCGGAGAGCCGGACCCTGGGTCGCATCGGGGTGGCAGGCGCTCGGCACCCTCCTCCTGCCCTTCCCTCTGTTCTTGCCCCCCGGCTCGGCAGCCCGAGCGCTGGCAATACTTGCAGCGTTCACCTCGGCAATTACCACCAGTCTGGTCTTTTGTATCGCCTCATTGTGCTTAATTATGCACCCCCCACACACACCATATGAGTGCTTCCACCCACTCTCACATTCTGTCTCACACATACATTCATTCTCTCATTCGGGACACATAATTTATTCATCCCAAGATGCAACTGTGTGCGTGTTATATTTAGGCTGTTTTAATGGTAGCTTTAGAAATACACCAGTCTGGTCTTTTGTATCGCCTCATTGTGCTTAATTATGCACCCCCCACACACACCATATGAGTGCTTCCACCCACTCTCACATTCTGTCTCACACATACATTCATTCTCTCATTCGGGACACATAATTTATTCATCCCAAGATGCAACTGTGTGCGTGTTATATTTAGGCTGTTTTAATGGTAGCTTTAGAAATATTTAAAAGCAGGTGAGCTTTTACACCCAAACAAAGATGGCCGGCAACGCTTACCCTAATTAAAAGCAGAAGCGTTGTGGAAAATCCCAGCCGTACTCTTTCTAGACATGGTGCCTTATGCTACAGTGGGAAAAAGGTCTCTCTGGCCAGCTGGGCACTGCTCGGTTGGAAAAGTTGGCCCTGCCATTGGGGCCACCCCGCCTCCCGTGCCAGGCGATGTGCACCCTGCCGCGTGGTAAACCGGAGACAAAGTAAATTTGGGGTCTTGCAGCTCCCACCGGCTTGTGAGGACACTGCAGAGTGCAGCGTCCACCCTCTGATACCCTGCCTCAGATAACATCCTTTAAAAGGGGGAAAAAATGATAGGAAACTCTAATGTAGCTGTTCGTAGTCTGGGAAAGAAAAACTTTGGGGCACTTCTCTATGGTATGGCATGAGCACGCTACCCCAACACGGTCTGTGACCTCCTGCCAGCGTCAGGGCCAGCAAAAAAAGGGAAAAATAATGTCCCAGGCTGCAGCGTGCAATGCCAGGGAAAGCATGCCACACGTGGGACTACGGTCAGGGGACAAAATTAGGGTCCTCTGGGCACTTTCTGGTGGCCGCCCTGGTGCAGGTGCCTGCCAGCCCCGCCGTGCCATTGTGCCCATGCTGCCGGGGGGCTCCCACGGTCCCCGGGATGCGGGTCCGGACGGACGAGACATGCGCTGCCTTCGGAGCCATGTGGCATCGGGCGGAGAACGAGGCCTCCGAAGAAAATAACGATGTCTACTTACGAACCCCATCTTCCCCCACGCGCTGAAGTAGAAGAGGGAGAAGCACAACTCCCACACTATCATCTGTTGCTATTAGAGCTTTAGCAGCAGTAAAGTTACCTCTCCAAAACAACAACAAAAAAAATACCGCCCTTGCCTATTCTTTTAGACAGGAAACATAGTTTTTATCACCCTTTTTCCCCCACTCAGCATTATATTGTCCCAAGTCTTGGCTGGAGAAGCTCTTACAGGTGTTTAAAGAAAAAGCAGAGACCTGAAAACGTCCTGATGGTGTAAACTCTCTTCTTGTTCCTTTTACAGGTGAAGGCTGCTTCCAAATACGTGGATGTACCCGTAAGCACAATTTAAACAACTTCTGTCATAGTAATTTGCATCGTGCTTTGGTTTATGGCATGTGTAGCAACCCACGTTATGCATTAACAGCCAAGTTTGAGCCATGGGCCTTCACACTTCTAACATTTGAACTGGAAAGAATATCTCCATGACGTTAATAATGAGCAGTTACCCTCTTATGGAGACCTACGAGGCTGTTTAGGCAATAATTTGCAGATGGTGTCAAAAAGGTACCATATTTATGCAATTGGCTTGAATCATATTTTAAAAAAAAAGGGAGCAGTGCATTCTGTTAATTCTTCATTTGGACTTGTACAAATACAGTATAATTTCCAAACAAAAAGGTCCAGACATGTTAGAACTGAGCCAACACACATCTAACACATTAGCTAATCTATTTTATTTTTGTTCTTCTAATTGTTGGTTTATTTTACTCTTTCGGAAAACGACTTTTTTATTACTTTGGGGAATTGGTGATGAGCTAGCAACATGTGTTTGGGAAATTGTTAATGAAAATAATTTTTTCCATTTTTCTGTAATTGGTATAGGAAAACTGTACATCGTCTCCTCTAATTAGACCTTGATTCATAAGGAAAAGAGCCCTTAACATTCTTAGACAGAGCACTTAACTTGCCAGAAATTTACATTTAAATTGAGTTGAAGTGTAATATATGAGCGTTGGCTAGAATAAGGGGTTACTGTAACATTTACAGGCAGAAAGATCCTGAGCAATTACAAATGAAAAAAGAGTAGATCTTAATGTACCACACCAGTTCCTGCATCCAGTTAGACCTGGCAGTGTAAATCAAGAATAACTCAGTTGAGTTTGATGACCTGTATGTATAATGTACATTTAATGCGGATGCGATTGCTCTGCATGATCTCACATGGCAACGTGATAAATTTATCAGACATCTTGGACCGCATCATCTGTGTTTGGTGTTTCCATCCCATTAGCCCAAAAGAAAACTTTCCTACCAAATTGCCATATCTTTAGCCCAGCATGAGGAAGACAAACCCTTGAACAGGAAAATATCTTGCTTGGTTTAAAATATCCCAATGCAGAGATCGGCATCCTGTTGTCTTGGAGTAATAGAAACAAGATATTGAAAGCATTAGAAAGAGAGACTCAGAATTCATTTCTAGCCCTAAAGAATGTGGAGATCCTTCAGTTGAAACTCCTAGTCGTTCGAGTGCATCTTAAATATTTAGTAATCAGGAATTTGAGCACAAAAGTTATTTTAAGTAACTTCTAGGGCAGAGCGTGGCCTTCTCTGAGGCCTCTATGTTCCTGGAAAGTAAAGCATCTCTAGGGAAGCAACCTCAGTAAAATGCTGTATAACCCTTTTAAGCTTTTCCAAAAGCATTTTCTCATTGTACAGGAGGTCCTCAGCATTGTGGCTGTGCGGGAGGAGCAGAATCTGCTCCCATCCTCAGAGCCAGTCAGATGCTCTGGTTCTTGCATAAAATAGAGCAGAAATCATTCATCTGGGTTATTTTTTCGTTGTTTCCCCACCTCCCTCTGGCAATGAAGCCATGTTGCAATGGCTTCCTTGACAGCCCCAAAATTTTTGATGAAGTCAACCACCAGCCCCGCACAGCTCCCAGACCTTTGCGGGAGGATGCCTCACGGTCCTTGAGCCACTGGCTTTCCCAGGAAAGAAGGAGAAAGAAAAACCTGTTTTGTTAGAGGTTTCTCTTTCAGAGGACGGAGGGGAAATCCTAGTGTTGAGCAGAAAACCATCAGTTAAATCTAATTCTGCAAACACCGTTGCAATTGTCTGGGTACAAACCAATCCGTTTAATGCCACCTTGAAATGGGCACGATTGGCGTGCTGAAAATTGCTTGAAAGTGTAACACTTGACTACTGCCACATTTGTGTTGTCCTCATTGTTTTTCAAATTAATACCTTGTCATTGTTGCAGTAGGTGTTAAGAAATGTTACTGGCTTCCCAAGGGCCAAGCACTGGCCCTTTGCTTGATAATTGTTTGCTTTGTATTAAAAAAATCCCTTCCTACTGCTTTCCAAACTGTCCTCATTTTCACCCTGGAAATTACACAGATGTGTTAACTAACTTCAATTTACAGCGGCTGACAATCGTATCTTGCAGAGAAATGATACTCTGTGATCTGAGGTAAATCACAGTAATAGAAACTAATGACACTAGTTATTAAAAAACTTACACTGTGCCATGGAAATTTAAGATTTTGTGGCAGCTCTTGTAATGACTCATGTTACAGTATTTTAATGGGTTTCCTTTGAGGTAAGTTTGATTCCAATATATCAAGCCATGTGAACTCAAACAGGATTTTTTTTCTTTTTAAGTATTTTCCCTTCCACCTGCCTCAGTTCCCATTTTCTTTACAGAAATGCTGTTATCCCAAAATCTTGCACGTTTGTAGGTTTCTGTTTAAAATCAGTTAAATTCTGTGGAGAGCCGTAGAGATGTGACAGCATGGGGAGGCTTCCTGCAGTTTAGCAGTGGCTTAAACATTCATGTAGACATATATTCCCTGACTTACCCTTTACCCAATTTGTTCTTAAGAGCAGCACTAAGTGTGAGCTAAAGTCAGGGGTCTAAACAGAAAAAGAAAAGTGATTTTGGCATGCCTTCTGCAACGCCAGCTGCTTACTGCACGCATCCTCACACCGTAGAAGAAGAACCAAGAGCCCAGCTCTGGCTGTTAGCTTTCTACCTTCAGAAACCAGAGGGCTTGCATGGAGAAGATGACCCAAGAAAACAACAAATCCCCAGCCCGACTTGCTGGTTCGCTCATTAGGTCAACAGCACCAAAGGTAGCAAGAGAACTTCCCGGCATCGGTATGTCAAGGAGGAGCTTTATTCCTCTGGCCGGCTTCGCTCTAGGCGAAAGAAGAGAAAGAGCAAGTGTCTTTGCACGATCTGGTGCTGCACACAGTATTTTGCTGGGCAAAGCAGCGGGACGCGGTGTCCGTCAGGTAAGGAAAGGGCGAACTGCAGGAGGACAGCAGGAGATGGAGGAGAAGGAAAAGCAGCGACAAGGCTACACAGAGGAGCTGCCCCCTGCGCCGCTATTCATGTTTTTCTTCTCTCTCTCTCTCTCTTCTTCTCTCCCCCATGCAGAAGCCAGGGATGGATGTTGCTGATGCCTATGTGACATTTGTCCGCCACTCTCAGGATGTCCTGCGTGATAAGGTCAATGAGGAGATGTATATAGAAAGGTTATTTGATGTAAGTAAATGCCTTCTCCTCCTTGGACACCAAGCAGGAGAGACCCAAAATGTGACAAAATAAGACAGGAGGATAAGTCACATTTTGAGAATATTTATTGGTTATAGCTTTAAAAAATAAATAAATCTTTCCTTTCTTTCTGACTAAGGCTCGTATCTGCTCTCTGCCTGCTTTAAATCTCTACTCTAGTCTACTGTGTCTTGGTCTGTCTGTGCGTGGATTTTAAGGGAACAGCATCTTCTCAGAGAGCCCTTTACTATGTTTAAGCTTGTGGAAAATCTTTCTGTAACAGAACATCTTGGTCATTGTTCTCACTGTTAAAATTTGAGCTGGGTTTTTGGCAGATGCGTTTGCTAAGGGCCATCTCTTCTGCACATTTTGCAGTGTGTTTCATTGACAAGCACTCCAAAACTGACAGCAAATGAAGCGTGCTAAATTTTAATTTTAAAAGCTAACCAAAACAGAGCTGATTAGGAACGGACTTTTCATATTTCAGGAGGACCATCTTGTGGTGTCTGACACCAAAGGTAAAGTTGAGACATGGTCTCCTTGATGAAGATGGCATGGTAGGAACTGACCCAGATGTTCAGAGCTATTTTTCTGTTGCACAAGATAAATTCATTGGACTGTAAGAGAACAGTGACCTGTGATGCCCGTTTGTTTTGGATTTGGATGCATGTTAACTGATATCTCTGTTTCTGTTGCTCTTGTTGCGTTATAGCCTTTCTGTCCTTGTAGCTGTTCTATAGCGAAGGTTTTCTGTTGACGGCCAGCCTGTAGCATTAGTGTTTCAGTCTCCTTTAGGGTATTTGTCCATATATTGACTTCTGTTTCAAGCAGCTTCTGTTCCTACTTTCCTTCCTTTCATCTCTCAGCAGTGCCATTTCTCAGTCTCCCGGCTCTGGAACTGTAACAACCTTCCTCGCTTTCTTTACTCGCTCGTTTGCTTCCTCAGTGTGCAGGGAAAGCTGCTTTTTTCCCCAACCAACCTCCTCCTTCACTCGATACCTCTCTTTCTGCGCATTACCTGTCCCTTAGAAACCTCTTCCTCCTTTACAATTCCCACTCTTTCTTTCCCCCGTACCTTATCAGATTAAAATGGAACTTATCTCTCATGTCAAATGTTTTATCACATTATATCAAGTGGCATGAATTAGAGTCAAATAATCTTACTGTGTACATCTACTAGCATGACCCATATCCACTGAGAATGCCTCATTCATGCACGGAGCACAGCAGTGCCTCCTCCGGGCGCCGCGCGTGCTCGCTCCGGGGAGAGTTTGCAGCGCAGAGCACCAGACGCAAATCACCCATCAAGCAGGCATGGGGAGAAAAAACAAAACATAAAACAAAAGACTGTCGCTTCCATCTGCAGCGGGCCTGCGAGTGCATTGCTCGTTTGTGTTGAAATTTATTCCATGAGCAGTTAAATTTCCAGAGCTCATCTGGACTGTTCTTTTCAATGCCCACACTGCCTTTTCCCTCATCCTTTCCCTATGATTCACAGTTGGTGTGTTTGTACCCTTTGGGCCATTATTTCCAATTTTCAAAAGGCTGTAATTAGCACAAATATTGATTTCAGTTTGATCCGCTTGTACTTAGTCTTACCAAGCCTTCTTTTAACCAAATTAATAGTTGACATGGAAAAAAAAAAGAGCAGCTACCTTGGTGGAAAGCAAAAAGTGCAAAACCTTTCTTTCCCTCCCTGTTCTCCTCAAATCTCCCTGGTCCATCCGGAATAAAATAACCAAGAGTAGGGTTTTTACATTGCTTCTCCTGTTCTGACCCATGCCGGCTGCAGGCAGGAGCTGCAGCGTGTGGGAGCTGTTCCCATTCCTGTTCCCGTTTCAATTCCCATTCCTGTTCCCGTTCCCTGCGCCGGCAGGACGGCGTTGGGACCCGATGCCACTGGCCTCTTCACACGCGTCTCGCGTACGTGAGTGTGCGCCCGCGAGCGGGGCGAGCTGCGGGGCTCTTGGTTAACAAGAAGGGAGGGGGGCGTGCCGAGCCCTAGCCACCCAAAAATTGGAATTATGTTTTGAGCGGTCGTGTATCGTCTGTGCCAGGTTGCGGCTGAAGAAGTGAATTGCCCCTGCGGTGAGCTCTCGGCACGGCTGAGATGCTGGCGGGTCAGCAGCAGCAGGGTTTGAGTACGGGGGGGCCACCCGGGCGCAGCCCCTGCTTGAATCGGTGCTGTGTTCGCCTACGTTTCAGTAAGGACAGGAGCAAATGCTTAAGTTGTCCTGAGCTTGATCTCAGCCACAGTCCTGCAGCCCTTTGCCCCCCTCGCCTAATGCAGCGAAGCAGCGTGGCCACAGGGTCTTTAAGCTCCTTTGGTCTCTGCACCTTGGTCATACTTTCCAAGGACATTTTAGGTGCTAGCTATCTTTTTAATAGGAAAGAGAAGAGCACTAATCAAAAATGGTATTTACGATGCTGAATTAGACTTGGGCCTGGTTTTGTTCTTGTTTCCCCCAGCACAGCAGAGGAGCAATCCTCCTAGCTGCAGTTTCTGCAGGCAATGAGATTATTAACACTTTCGAGGCCGGCTCCTCCACTGGCTTAGTGCAGCGATGCTGGCTCACGCCAGCTAAAAGCTTAGTCCAGTTCTAGGATGTTATATGTTAATACATGCAGCAATGGCAGGTAAACAGCTTAAATCTGCCTGCAGGCAGTTCCTCTGGTCTCAGTAGGATCACGTTAGAGACACTCGCAATAGAGGGCTAAATCCCCTTTCCGTGCAGTGGTGAGTAGGGCAGGAGCAGAGGTGCGCAGTGCAAGGTTGCCTATTGCACGCTCGGTGGGGTTTGCAGCTCCCAGGTTATTCCTAATCCCCACACTTCTCCGCAGTCCTGCCCAGCGTTTCCATTCATTTCCCCTTTGTTTCCTCCCAGGATCAGAGGCTGCAGAGTGCGTTAGACCATCTCCCAACAGAAGCTGGGTTAATATGTCTTTTTTTGGCATTTGCCATGATTTCTTAGCTCAGAAACCATCCCTCTCTCCCTGCATCGCGTGCCCTGCTCACACCTGCAGAGCAGGGCTATGGTCTTCGAGAGATACTGGTGTTTGCGGAAGATTATTGTAATATTTCTGTGTGGTCTGTGTGTTAATCCTCTTAATTCTGCAAATTAGTCAGGGTTTCCCCCCCTCCCTCCCCCCAAAATAGAGTCATCTTAATTTTAAAAATTTGTATTCTTGGGATCATTGAACGAACAGATTGATCGTGGAGTTCTGCTGGTAATCAAAACCTAACTAGCTTTTTGGCAGTGGTGTTTACTGCAGAGTAACATGACTTATTTACTTGGCCTGGCTCACTAATTTGGTAACATTTAAAGCTAAAACACTCTAATAAGGCCCATTGGTAGAGAGCAGTGGTAACAGAAGAGTTTCGGGATAGCATCATAGCATCCTCTCGCTGCGTTCCTGTGCATGGCTGGGTGCTTTGGGATTTAAACCGCTGTGATGTTTTGCACACAATGCCGAAGGATCACAAACTCTGGTAGTGCCTGATGGAAAGTAAGATTTTTATCACTTTTTCCCCAGAGAGGGGGCAGAGTTGACATGCAGAATGTGACAGTCTATAGGAACGATGAGGCAGAGGCAGGCGGGTGTATCTTAGACATCGGAAAATACCTTCGGAGTGATCTCGAGTCTTCAGACCGATCCTGCAAAATTCAGGTCCCCTTTGGCTCAGGGCACTCAGAATTTTATAGGATCAGAGTTTATACATCCGTAATTTTGTCTGAAGGCAGTGGGAGTTTTACTTGTAAGGGTTGTGCCCTTTGGTGGAAGTTATTTATACATGCGTGTATGTGTGTGTATCTTTACACACACCCTTAGATACTCACAGTATAGGTTTCAACCTGTCAGAACATATGTGATCCAGAAAGTCTGTGATTGACTAGTAGATAGTGTGAATGCCAACCTTTCTTCGTCATAAATTGGTAAACACTAATGTAAAACATAGCAAGAATATTTCCTCCCCAGCCACAGGCGAGTAGCACGTACACAAAAGGCTACTGAACGTTGAGCGAGCTCCCCAAGATCCTGTGAATTCCAGCATCCTGATGCAGTCCCTAAATAGCGCAGATGGCATTTTTCTCTCTGATGATTAATTCAATATCTTACCGAAAAAAACAAAAACATGCTTTTGATATGAGAGATCAAAACACCAAGAGAAGCTCCTAAGATTGCAAGGACCTAAAAAAAAATTAATTTATTTTTTTCCTCCTTGTACTTCTTGAAGACACCAGCCTGAGTAGAAGATAAGGATTAAAACAGATGTGCTTAGCGCTAGTTCATCGGCTTAAATCTAGCAGTCTCTGAGATCAGTGATTAAAAAGCCATCTCTAACTTTGATGAAATCCACTGCAACGGTAATACTGTGTCTCTGATCGCCTTCTTATGGGCCTCATGTCTGCCTAAACCGGACATAGAAAACATTTCACTGGAGATGATACATGGATTATATGGGTCAATTATACGCTTAATCTGCCTTCTAGGGATTAAATGTGCCTAGATTGACCCTGCGTATTTGGCTTGTCCTTGGCAGTTATCAGATCAGGAAGGTTGCCTTTACCAAAAAGTCTGGTAAGAACTTAATCACGCAGTGATACAGCCCGCTGAGGTGGCAGTAGTCACAGTGCTTTTTGCAGAAGGCAGTTTTACCACTTCACTGTCACTGTGTATGTTCGGCTTCCTCGAAGGTCTGTGTCACAGCCGGGATACCAGACGGAGTATTTTCTCCTGAAATGAGAAAGCAAACCCATTCATCTCTGCAAGACGGAGGCTTTTTTTTTTTTTTTGTCTTGACGGCAGGGTGGGATCGGCGGGGTCCAGGCGAGCATAGGAGGGAGGGCGATGGGGGAGGCCGGGGGTTTGCTCTGCCCTGCGCCATCCTCGGTGCAGAGGGACAGTCACTCCAGGTGCTCTCCCAGCAGTGAAGAAGCCGTGGCTCAGCTGTTAGGGGAGCCGGCGTCTCCTTCCCACCGCCCTCGGGG